TTATATCAATAATTATTAAAAGATTTAATTATTGAATAATTTTTTTGATAAATTTTATGTTTTTTATACCTAAATATATAAAGTCAAGTTTGATTAAATATAATTTACAAATAATAATAGTTATAATTTAGAAATTTCTATTCCAAATGATTAAGTTCAACAAAATAATAGTTTATAAACTACAGCAAATTACATTAAAATACTTTTCTATAAGTTCAAGTATAATTGCACTATAGCTGAATTTAAAACGACTTAATGAAGTAGACCAGTTTAAATAACTTAAATAATATATTATTATGTATCAAAAATTTTAGAAATATTGGTAGAAACTAATAACTAATAAGTTTTAAACATTCACATTAGATAACTAGGTACTTGTTGTATTGTTAGTTTCATTTTAATATTAACTTAACTATCTCATAATTATTGTAAATACCAAAATATAAAAATTAATGTAGTTTGGAATAACTTATTTTTATACAAGCTTGGATCCACATTGAAGGTTTGAAAAAGTCTTTCTGACCATAGTTTAAAATGTAATTAATATTATATACCTATTTAAATAACTCCAAGTATTCATATGATCATAAATTAGGTTATACAATTGTACAAACATAAATTGAAGCTGGCATATATCTTCAGAAGCTATAATATCTACTATAATATAAAACACTAAGTTGACTACATTATTTGTTTTCAACCCCATCATTTTAGTTTAATTTTATTTTTAGATCAAACAAGTTGTAAGAAGGCGGAAAATTCTAAAAGGGGATAGGTACTTACATAATTTAGACTCATATTGTAAGATCAAAAAGCGAAAACTCTAAAACTGAAATTCTACAGTAAATTATCTGAAAATTTAATATTAATGTAATATTTACCTTTATTCTTGAGTTAAACCAAATAAAGAAAATCAGATTTAAAAACATTCACAATATACCTACTTGACTATTATACACGCATAATTCAATTAATTTTAGACGAACAATAAAAAAAATTGTTTTTGATTATATTTATGTACATTATAACTATATAAGTCTACAATATACAACTGAAATATATTATAGTAAAAATTAGTTTGAAAAATACCTTTGTCAAAAATAATACAATTTTAATTTTTTGGGGCTAAAATTATGAAAATCCCAACAAAATTAAAAAAATGTCAACAAGTGAATTTTGGCTACCTAAATGTATAACGAAAATAAAGTGCCTAAAGTGCTTTCATGCAATATCGTGTATTTAAACTATTCTATAATAACGAATAAATAAATAATTAAAAATTACTATATATAAGCACATAAGTTCTAAATCTTAATAAGAGATGCTTATCTAATGCTGGAAATTTATAGTACCTACTATAGTACCTAGTATAGATATTAGATCTTATACTTTTTGAATAGAAAAAATAGGTAATGTATTGTCTCCATCATAGCTATATAGGTAACGTGGACTAAAGTAAAGTCATTTAATTAAATATTCCTTTTTTTAATAGTTTTAGTTAAAGTATAATAGGCCTATTTCCATAACATCCCACTGCAGGAATTCAAATATTATTGGTTTAACGTTTAACCATTGATTAGAACTATGTTGGGCATTTTATACCAAATGGTTATACAACATAGGTAAATATGAAACATTTTATTCATATATGGTTTAAATTTTCATCGAAACGAGTTGGGCTCCTTGTGTATACGTCATACGGTATGTAAAAGATTGGGATTGTTCAGTCTCCCGTTTTTCCCGATATTGTATTGCAAGTCTTTAGGTAGATATCGGTAATAGCGTGGTGATAAATAATCACAATAATAAAAATTTAAATGCACTGTATTTTTTCATGATTTTTTTATACTAAATAATAGTTGACAGTTTTAATTGTAGACGTTTGTTTTGACAAGGTTGTGGATCCTTTGTTAGTTTATGTGAGGACGAAACAAGATTATGATTTATATGTAGTATCTTAAGGGACGTTAAAAAAACACAGCGAAAGATATTGGTTCTGGTTATTGGCGAAGACGTGACAGGAAATCGTTTCACAAATTCAATTAATGAAATATTTTACCAAAAAATAATAGTACCTATGTATAATCTATAATTGTTTCCGCGGTTACATGAATAAAAAAAATGAAAGGTTGCACACAAATAAATTAATTCATTTAGAACAATATTCATTTGTGTGGGAACTGGGAAGACGTTTAGACATATGTAAAACCACTTCGATTTTGATACATACTATTTGGAGTAAAATTTGCATTGTATTGGTTTTATTTAAAATGACAAGTGCCGAGTATACATAAAACATATTGAAATCGGTTACAAAATGGCCAAGCAAAAAAAAAGCATATTACAATGTATCGACAATAATATAATTGATACGATGAATGAAACCAGTATGAGAAGTCGGTTTGTAGAAAACCGAAAAGATAAAATCGTGGAATATTAACAAAACAATTCTTTCTCAGACAGAATAATCAGGTTATTGGAGCGGCAAATTTACAATAAGTACTTTAAAAAAATATATGTAAATATTCCTAGGTATATTATATTATAGCTTTATTAGCTATTAGGTTATTGAGTCACTGATATAGTCTCAGCGAATGCGGACAACTCAATGTTTTTCTACTGCTTAGTGAAACTATGTTTCTTCCGGGAAACCTGAAGGCGGCTTATTTATATAAAATTATAGGCTATAGCTAGGTAAAATATATATTATGGCGATGAGACGTTGATATTGTCAATTATATTTTATTTTCGTCATTCTATTGCATACAAAGAATGTTATAAGTCATATATATTGTAATATTGTACTCAATTTAAAATAAAAAAGAATAATTTAATCAACAGCACCTATATTTCTTTAAGTATTTTGTTTAAAAAAAAAAAAAAAATGGAAAATGAAAGAGAGACACAATTGACTGCTTGTAGGCGGCAAATTGCTTAATCCACTACTGCTTATCGACAAAATTGTTTCTAAATTGCCCTGAGAAATGTAGATATCAATTGGATAAAGAAAAAACATTTAAAAATAGAAATATTTAAGAAATTCTGTTGAAAAAATGGTTTATGTATAAATATTACTGTATCTATTTATACGAAAATGTAAATTTTAAAGTTTATATAAAATTTCATTTTACTAATATATCATTCAAATATATAGTACGTGCTAGTTTGTTTTCGCCGAGTCTTACTCGACGTTTTTCTTTACCCTCATTTTAGGCGAGTATTTCGTGGATTTTATTCGTTTGCTAAGCAATCGTTCAATGACGTATGTTCAATGTTCATACATATCAATTATATTTTTATAACAATGCATGTAGAATGTAGATCTATAATTCTGATCTGTATTTTAATTTTTAATTCATAAACCAGGAGCTTTAAACCGGTGGGACACAACCCAATTTCAGCAATTTTGGGTCACAGTACTCACTTTAAATAATTTAAAACAATATTAAATCTGAATAGTATAAATATTATAAAAATTTAAATGTACAAAAAATGTATGTAACAAATAAACCATATAATAATGTAAAATTTTTAGTAATTCAATTTTAATCCAATCTAGTAAAATGTGTTATTTAAAAAGGCAATTTAACGTTACATACATTAATAAAACAGTACCTATAGGTTTATTATAATTCTAAATTAATCTATTAAATTGTTGATTATTTCTCGCTCAACGTCAAGTCCGAGATGGGTCACCATAAAAAATGTTTAACAAACTCGAAAACCACTGTAGGTGTGTAATATAACATCGTTATGAAAAATTAAGCTAAATATTAGCTATAATATTGACAGGCAAAAGTGCGTAAAAGAAATTAAGTACTCGTGTGGGTACAAATTATTCGGTAATTAATACATTTTAATCTGCATCAGACAGACCCGCAGTGCGTATTATACTAGCGTTATCCGTATTAAATATTATAATTAAAGACCAGATTTAATTAGTATTGCAACTTTGTTTGTGGACAAGATAAATAAAATATATAACCAAATTATACAGTGTTTGAAATATATATCCGAATGAAATATAGATACATATTACATTTTAAATTGCAATTTTTGCAATTGAAATGATGTGTGTTTTAGGTGTTTCTTTATTTGATAATATATAAACGCTAGAACTATTATACGTACTGAGTTCGATACAAGCAGATAATCTGTGGTCGTACCATAAGGCCATTGTTATTAAGATGACAGTTATTCTTCTATCATTCCGCAAATCGGTGGGTATTTATCATAAATCGTTCAAACAATATAACTGTTTCCTATACCATTTTATAACTAAAACATTTACTGTTAAATCTTATCCGGGAATGAAAATGTTAATTTATATATACCTATAATGCCTAACTCATTGAATAATTTTAAATATACGCCAATATAACTCACTGGTATAACGTGGTTTTTCTTTGTACAAAAATATTTTAAGTACCTAATAGAAGATATAATTTTAAAGAACATAATTTATAGATGTATTTAATAATCAGTATTAATTTTAGAAAAATAAGATTAAACTTCATTTCCTACTAGGTAATTTTATTGTACTAGAATTAAAATTAGCTTTTTTTTGTATAAACTTTGCAGTTTTAAATTTTGATACTGGAATTTATTTTGAAATGCTTACGTTTTTTTTTTTTTTAGTTATTGTACATTGTACATTTAAATCAAGTCTTTAATTATAATGTACTGTGCGCCTATATATACATATATACTATGAACTAACTAAGACAATTTAACCAACTACTCTATAATAACAATATTGGTCTGTGATATACTGCAATATTATCTCAATTATAATATTTATTATGTAGCCTATAAACCAGCAAATTATTAATCGAAATGCTGTTTTAAGTAGGTACATAAAATAACGTCCATATGTACCTACGTAGTGCGTACACAGATCTATATATTATACCTATTCTATTATATCACATTACGTACATGATCATGTCTATGATCATTATATTTAAGATTATAATTTATGAATTAAATATTTTATATACCTGTTGGACGAGGGACGGTGACGACGCAAGTTTACGACGACGGATTTTCGTCTGTCGTTGCCGGCAACCAATAAGACGGTCACGTCGTCCGTCCGCGAAGAATCGCCGCGGCTGACAGTGCGCGACATGGCGTTCGATGCGACAAATACGGCGAGCAACGCGTCCGGTGCGTTTAAATAGATGAGTGTGGACCTCCTCCGCGACGCGCCGTCAGTCATCGCCGCCGCCGACGCCGCCGCCACCGACGACGACGGCGGCGTTCGACGGCGGCGCGATGCCAGTGGGGGCGGGGGCGGGGGCGGGAGGACTCGCGGCGTTTAGGTCCGACGCGCGACGCCGCCGCGGCCGACGCGACGGGCGAAACGGACCGAATGGCATAATATCGTTGTACGTAACGTTCGCACAGATCACGAGAGCGGTTAATTAAAAATTATAAATTATAATATTGTACGTCTCGCAATGTGGTCATCAATTTATTATCACAATATTATTATGTGGTGATCGAGGACTATCGACAATACCTAATTCTTTCTTAGTCCGTGGTCGTGATGTTGTGGCGTAGATGACTTTTGATATCCGAACCCTCGAATAATTAATCGTATGACGATATTATACCGATAAATGATAACGTGTGTCGATCCTACCCATCACCGGTCCCGACGGCCAATACGATTACAAATAATTATAATATCGATAATAATATAATAGTTACGATACTAAAATATCATACCTGTAGCTGATGTGAGTATAATATTATTATAATAGGCAATAATAATTGTGGCGGAGTGTGCGCGCGCGAAACGGGTTGAAGACTGGCAGCGGTGTACGCGATACCATTGTCACCGTCGTCGTCGCCGCTGCCGCCGTCCTCTCGAGTATCTACGACATAACAATATTTTTATCTGGTTAATGCTAGGTACATAACACACGTACCTACCTACGATAGAAGTATGATGGGTAACAGCTACGAACGCGTTACCCTACCTATATTTTTATACCTATATATACCTACATTATCCTAGGCTCACGTGTCGCGTGTTTGCTCGGAGTTAATCCGAGATAAACATTCGGCGTAACATTTTCCATTATTATATTCTGCTGTTATTAATAATAATGTATTATACCATAATTATCATTATATAATATGACATTCAAGGCTGGGCAAGTAAACTAATTTTTTCGAGTTAAGTTCGAATTAAGTTCGTATAAAAAAATGTATATAGAATGTCGCAAGTTAAATAGAAATGAGAGGTGGACAAGTGGGAACCGCTTTGCTGTACATTAATATTTAGTGTCGTGTGGGTCACTGTATAAAGGATGTGCTAAATTTGAATTCAATGATATAAAATCTTTGTAGGCATACAAAAAACGATCGGTCTGTCAGCTGTCAGCCTATACATTACCAAGTAAATATTGTATGATATTATTGCTATATAAAAGTGCTTTATTTTACTATTACTAATACAGTAAATAATATACATTTTCGGAAAACATTTTTAAAATACCGTTGAGTGTAAAAAATATAATAACATACTAGATACAGTTTCAAGCCCCCACAAAAAATATTTTAAAATTACAACTGCACATGAGGATCATTCTTTTAATTTTCAATTCTTAGCTATAAAAATTGAACATTTTATAAATTGTTCATACAAATTTCATTTGACTTTCCAGTTTCCAGTAAACTTATTTTTTGTTTGAGGTAGAAAAACTTATGAGGAATCTTTTATTCAATTTTCAAGTTTTTTTCTATAGAAAAAATTATTTTCCGACAATTATTGAAAAGAAAATTCGAAAAATTATCAAGGTTATTAATGGTTATAAAGAGCTCAAAAACCGTCTATATATTTTGGAAATATCATCGTGTAGGTGTGGAATATTGTCATATTGAGATTTGGTAAATATTTAATGTATCTATTCACGGTTATTAGTTTTTGAATTATTCTAGCTTTTGCGCAAAATCCACGTTTTTATTAAATTTATTTTAGGATTTTTGAGACGCTTTTGAAAATTTCTAGGAATTTTTTCACTTTTGAGTTTTGACCCACCCATGTATTAACTAGATACACTTTTTACCCGAAAAGATACTGATGTAGAAAATCACGGGCAGTGTTAATGCCCTAACAGGTAAGGGTAGACCCAAAAAAATAATAATAATAAACATATATCATTGTAAAATCAATATATTCATAGCTTCAATCAGAATTTTAAAAAAAGTAATTTTTTTTAAATGAATATTTACAGTTTATGCCAAAAATTAATACCTATACACAAATACAAAAATATAATATAGTAAAAATAATATATAATTACTTATTATTATAAGTTTAATCAATAGAAAAAATAACAGAAAAGGAGCCAACCCTGTTGACAATACAAACAAAAGTTATTAATTATTTAGGTTAATTTATTAAGAGATGGCCAAAGTCTCTTTAAACATCGAACTAAGTGTTCTCACTTCCCATATGATAATGCCGTTGTTGAGATGAATGTGTTGATTGTGTACAGATGAGTATGTAGTTTTCTATGGACATTTATACAAAGTTATGTTTATGTAAACTATTTAAATCGCTACTGAAATTCAAAAATAGTGCATTCACCACTTTGACAGATGACAGTTTACGATTTAGTATTTACACTGCATATTATAACAATTATATAAATAATATTTACTATTATTTTTTTTTTTTAATCTATAAAAATAATTATCTTTTAAAAACAAAATAGGTATATTTTTAATTTATGAATTATGGAGTTTGTATATTAAGAGGACGCCACATGCGTCTTCTTAAGAAAAATATTAAACTAACGTAACTATAAAATGAATTAACTGTATCATATATATAAGTCAAATTATACTCGTTAAGTTAGAAAAGTTACTTTTTAAAAAAGTAATTCGTTATGTAACTAAGCTAAAAGTAACTTAACATTTAATTTTTTGATTCGTAGATTAATTCAGCTTTGATTATACATTATAGTGGGTACCACCCTGCGAGTATTAATTATAGTTTTATACAACAATTAGATGGCCGACTTGGATAAGTATATTGAAGTCGGCAGCCATATCTATAAGAGGGTAAAATACGATTGATTAATCCACGACATTTATGACTACGCCATGCAGTATAATATAATAAATTAATAACAACAAGTCAAGATCTATAAAGAACATTATAGATCTTTATAGATCTTGACAACAAGTAACAACATGGGTTTTTATCGGGTTTCTGCGAATTAATCTTAAATCGTGGTGTTATTATATAATTCATGGCGTAATTAAATATTTCGCAGATTAATCAATTGCATTAGCCTTCTTGACATATGGCTGCCAGACTCCATAGGTCTTATGAGACTTTAACACTGTGTCGGCTGTCTAGTTGGTTTATATATCTATACGATAATTATAGTATACAAAGAGCGCAAAGTTAATATTATTTTTATTATCACGGTCTTTTTGTGAGCTGCAGATGACATATTTATGTGACCACATTTGGAGAAATCTACAAGATTACTATGATGGTTATATACACATATATATACGCTGTATCTGAGGGGGTGGGTGGTGAACCTATGGTACGTCGTTGGTCAAATTGTAATGCCACACAAAATATTTTTATTTCATCGTTAAATCTCGAGTTTAATGATAAATAATTGTGAACAATTATATATTTATTATTTACGAATAGGTAATTAGTTCCTAATAAATTAGAAACTCTTGGAACTCATATATATATAGAATGATAATGTGAAAACTTTATATTAATGAACTGTTTTCACAAATCTCAGCCCCACAATAGTATCACAACTTCGCCTGATCAACCCAAAAAGAAGCTTGTAGATACTAATACATATTATAATTGGTACGAAAAATTGTTTAAAACTTTGATTCCAAAAAATTGGTAGCGGTCTTCAAAATTCTGTCATACAACAGATAAATGCAGTGTATCCACGATAAAATAAATATTTCACCCACTCCTATACAAATATACCAATTATTACGTGTCAAACGAGATGATTATTATGTTTTTAGGTAGGTACTTATTATCACGGCAATTCTATACACTGCGCCGCAACTAATAACTAAACATGAGATTTTATTTCTTTAAACCCTTTTTAAATTGTATACCATTATTTCTTATTTTTTAATTTTAAAAAAAGGTTCCCCTATTCAATGTTCTTACAATGTTAAGCTTTTATAGGTTCATTTTTTTTAATCGTTTAAAAGTAAAGAGAGAGGAACATCCGAGGATAAGTCTGATAGTTTCTTATTACTCATTAATGACTTGAAACAAATTGTAAGACTGAAAGTTGATTGGGGGGGTACTATTTCACACATTTTAGGGAAAGGAGTCTAAGGCCCAGATTCAAATATTCTTATGAATGCACTTATCCCTAATAAATAACTGCACCACTAGAAATAGTTCTGAGTTCCTCGCACATACCACAAAGGTACCTATATAGTTATACGTGTTATTTATTATTATATATTTATATGCAGAGGTAAATATAGATACCATAAGTCATAATAAAAATGCAGAAATAATAAACATATGACGCATTGAAAAAACTTAAATTCGAGGCCTGCAGTTCAAGTAAAAAAATTTCTTACTTATTATTCAATAATATTCTAATTTCTTACAATTAGTTATTCGTTTTAATTTCAAAAATATCTAGAAAATAGCTGTATGCATCAAGTAACACTAATCATCACCAATCATAATACATACTATTAAATATTATACAGCAATACAATTAAAATTTACAATATCGTTTTAACCCCGGGGGTTATACACTTGTTATAAGTATAATACCCCTCAGCTTAGGAGCAAAACTACGCAATACAGTAATACAGGTAGTATTATAATACTATAATATATTTTGGTATACATACGTACTTTTTACTTTTTTTATCGCATTATAAGGTAGCACACCGTCAACGGTGTTTTCCCTTTATAATAATAAATTATTTATACCAATATATAATTATTATGAGAGTTAGTTAAAACCGCTTTGATCTTTACACATTCTGTGTAGGTATACAGATAATATTTTAGTACGCAACAACGTTTGTTAAAAATATATCCAAAATCAAGTTAAAATGTAATATCATACACATTCTAGTAGTCCTAAAAAAGCCTGTAAAGTGTAAGTTAATTATAAACGTACATATTTTTTACATAACCTATATAATTATAATATTTATATCAGTGAAATAATAGTATTATAAAATACACTTAACTGTGTATCCAAACTCCATAATATACATTAATCGGTTCGGTACCTACAAATTAAATATTAATTCGTCTAAAATGTAAATAATTACGCTATAGGTTTATTCGTCTATTAAGATATTATTGCAGTTATTAGTCATGTTACTTTAACAGATAATAATTATGTACTGTACACATATTTCATATTCATTTATTCATTATAATGGATAACTTGTCAGCTTTTGTAAAAATGACATTTTAATACAGGGAATTTAATATATTATACTATAATAATACTATGTGAGTCATAGGTATAAGCTATATTTCATGTAAAAAAGTAAGTGTTATATTAGTATACGTGTTCATATCTACAAATATTCTCTTTTACTGGTCAATAGTTGAAAAATGTTAATAAACAACAGTAAATATATGTAATCACAATATAACAGTGTCCATATAAAGATTTGAAGTAGGTAAACAAAATAATTAAAAATATTTAAAAAGAACCTTACAAAATTACAATTTTCGATTGCATTATAATATAAAGCAGAGGTATTCAAACGGTGAGTCACGGCTTTCAGGGGCGTCGCGGGAGCGGGAG